TTTTCCTTTCTTTTGTGATATTTTTAGATCAGACAGGGCTTTGAATTAGTTTCCAACAAAGCTGTGTGTGTACAAGTGCCAATGCTCAGGCAGAACATGAAGACAACGAGGACAGTCTCTTTAGCAGCAGGGTGCTTTTAAGCCACATGAAAGACCACAGTCTGCATTTCCTTCCTTTACTCACACATATTTGGAATTTATGCAGTTATTATTTCCCTCTGCACTCTCACATCATATATCCCTTCAGGGACATCTCCTAATTTTGGCCATACAACTTCTAAATTAGCGGAACTGTAATCACTCATTACCTTTCTGAGCTTTAATACAGTGACAGCTGCAGTGAATTTTTTGCTGTGGCACAGACCGCTGAAGCCCACTATCTCTGAAAACTCTTTTCTCTGACAGCGCAGTGTTATGTGGTTCAAATCTTCTGACAATATGTTCTAAAGCATGGTATACATATAAGGCAAGTACATCATGGCTTTCTGTGAATCTTGTGTTTATTTTTCTATGTCTTTAGCTCTCTGTGTCCTCTAATGTCTACCTATCAGCACTGCACAAATTAGCAGTAAACAAATACTTATCTCCATTTTCTTGTCTCAAAAATGTAGCTTAAAACACATTTTTATACAGTAGATTTTATTCTCTTTTCTTTCCAAGACTTCTTAGTAAAATCTGTACTAATAATGATGTTTCTATAATTACTCCTGTTATCAGCAGCAGCATGTATGGCAGTATGGCCAGTCTTACATATTATTTTCATACATATGTCTACTACCTATTTGCCTATATGCTTGATTCATTTTATGGTGAATGTTCATGAGAGGTCTTGATATGTATTGTTTAAGAAAATATATACACTGAAGCACATTCTCCTCTCACTTGGGCAAGCCAACTTGTCACTGAGGACAATAAGAGCTGCTTCTATTCATGCTTAAATAATATTTGCATAAGGACAACAATTAAAGAATTTGGATTGTAGCCTATGGTGGAAAGACAATATGAGATCACATAATTAACAACTATTCTGTAACAAAGATACATTAGAAACAATTTTAGATTCCATAGCTGACTTTGTTTTCTGAATTCTCAACTACGTAATATTACAGTGGGATCAATTAATCAAGTTTAAATCATTTCAAGTTGTAGAAACTACAGACAAGTGAAACCAGGCTTACACTCAAACCAGAAAAATACAAGTATATGAAATCCTTCTAGAGGACACCATAATAAAATACCTACCCAGAAAAGGTAGGATGAATAAACTCTATGGGAGTACCTTACTTTCCACATATTCGTCCAGCCATTACTTCGCTGCATTTACCCAGATAATCCTGTTCTTTTTATCTTTTTAAAAGGAGGGGCTGAGAGGAGGTTTCCACAGGTAAATTTTTTATATATAACCAACCAGTGAAGCAAGAATAGGTGTTTATTTGATTTGGATATAACTTACTGCACTAATGAAGGAACATCCCAAGTTAACTGAATATGAGTACTTGTATATCTGCAGAAGTCACTTCATGTTTGCCAAAGTATTCTTTATTTCTGAAAATGTAATTCTTGGAGGGAAGGCTGCATCCCCTTGCCAACTTGACTTGATATCTTGGGAAGAACACACAAAGTTTTACCAATCAAGAGTATACAAGAAAGGATTAGAGGGCATACTAACACAGCTGAAGTTTTATTAACCATATAGTAAAAGGTATAGTATTTAACACTTTAAAACACTGAGTTTTGTAGCATACTGCTATACCTGTAACTATGATCAATAATCAAATACATTAAAGCCCAAATGTTAATATCCTGGTGATTACAATACATAAGTGCAATGTGAACTTTTGTTTATTGACACAGGAAGGGAACAGATCTTCTTGCACAACGGCAATGCCCAAATGAATTCATCATTCATTTGGCCAAATGCTATTCCTTCTGATGTTCATAAATATCTTCATGGAAAATGTGATCACAAATACCTGAGGAAGGAGAAAGGACAAGCAAAAAATAACACAGAAAACATTGATACTTGCTCATGACTTAGTCAATCTGACTGCTGATATATGAATGACAGTGCAGAAAGATATAAGGGAGAATGACTGAGAAATATTTCTGAAGACACAAGCTGCTCAAGCTTAGACTTGCTATGTGACCTTGGGCAAGTCAGTTAGAACCAGATTGCAGAAGAATCTTGAAATCTATTTCAAGTGGCAATAACTTAGTTAAGAATTTCAGTGCCCCGTGAATCTTGGTGGTGTCCTTTAGAATGGGTGTAACAGTTCTTTCCTACCTGACAAGAAAGTGTTGTAAGCTATACTACATTGCAGATAATGAAATACTCATATCCTGTGCTAGTGAGTTATGTAGTCCATCGAGTGTTTTTATTATCTACTTTTGAGGCATGGTATTACATGTAGAAGAGACAAATTAGGTATAATTTTAATTCTTTTTGTAAAAATAAACTAATTCAATTTTCAGCTTCATGATTTAGATACTACCAAAACGTGCTTCCACCTGCTTGATATATTGAGTTTCAAGGTGTCCAGTGGAATGAATGAATTCTTCTTGTCATTATTCTCTTTTACCCAATAAAATTTTCTTACAGATACATGAGGAGAGGGTTTATATGTTTTGTGATGTTTGTTTTAGCATTTTCATAGATTAGTTTCTGTACAAATTCAGAGCAAAGGAGGTCTCTTGCTCTTCAGAATTTACATTTTCATAACAGTTTCCTGTCCTTGTAAAGCAGTTTGTTTTCGCAAATCATATCAAACGTTTCCTTCAACAAACTTTGGGCACAAACATCTGTGATGATGTGTCACTATGTGGAGGGCAGTTAATAAACAGGGCTAGATTTTATTTCTAATAAAAATTGATGGAAAGCTTTACAAAATTCCTGAGAGCATGCCAAAGCCAAATGGTACTGAATTGATTTTTACCCGCTGCAGAATATCTTTTTTTTTTTTTTTTTTTCCCACTTAAAAGTGCCCTTACCTGTGTAATTAGCAGACTGATACTAATTCCATTTAAGATCAAAACATTATTTTCAAACCATGTATCTAAGTATTCTTCACAACCCTAAAAAAGTACAGATGAATATATTTCAAGAAAAATTATTTCGACTATTCAATTCACATTGCATATTTATAGCATGCTGTTAGAAAATATGGAATACAACATTCTGCATTCCAAGATAGGATATTTACTCACCAGAAATCAAATAGTGATGTGTACTGCACATCTAATGATCTACACCAAGCAGACTGTAAATCTGATATTTTTGTATGGAAATGTACCAGATTCTGTAACTTAATCAAAATGATACTGCCTTTTGTATAACTGAGAGATCACTTTACCAGTAAAGGAAAGAATATTTTCAAGTTTTCAGTGATTCTCACTTGTTTATATCCTGATGTATATTTTTCAAATTACAGTCTATGATTATTATATTGCTGATTTTAAGAATATGTTAATTATTATAAAGCTTAAAATAGCTACAAACATAAAAAACCGTACAAATAAATGCTTTCTATACTTTGAAGTGATGATTTGATGACAAGAAACAGATTAAAATTCCAATCGGAAAAAAGGAAGAGAATACCAGATGTCATTTGACAACATCCTTTCTATTTTCAGTCTTGAATTGCCTACTGAATTATTATTATTATTATTTGCATTAGGCAGTCCTCTTAACACAGGATAATTATCAGAAGAAAATATTATGTATCTATTTGCTTCAGATATATTTTATCAGGTGATGAGTTGGTCCCTTTGTATTAAGATATGGAGACGTTAACATGAACTGCCCTTAAACAACACATCTCACATTCCAACATCTTGCTCTTATTCTGTGCTGAAGATACTTTGGAAATCAGTAACTTGAACAGATGAAGTAATTGCTGTCATTCTATAAATAAGGAATAGTAATTACAAACAGTTCAATACTTTTCATATACTGACACTTCCCATTATCATTACTGATTTACACAGCATAGTTTATTGAATGCCAAGATGCTTACTACATCATAAATCATTATTAAATATCCATGCAATGTTGATTCTCTGATATTTGCACTCTTGTTTTCAAGTATCTGCCTACATGACTGACAGCTAAAGAGTAAAAAAAAACAAGGTTTCAGGGTGACAAGTGACAAACTAATGATTATTATTAATATTTTCATATTTGCAAGGCAAGTCTTGATGGAAAACATGCTTTGAATATTTTTTCCAAAGTCCATTTAGTAGCAAAATTTATATCCTGCAAGGTACTTTTAAAATTTCTTACCATAGTATATGTTGAATTCCTTGGGATATCACAAAACCATTTCTTCAGGTTAGATTTTGTGCATGAACATGGGATCTGAGCATGGTTTTCCTTGTTTTTATTGTTTTCCCACTGTGTGACATTGTATCTTCCACAGCATTCCATCTAAAATAAAAGTGCTATAACTTGTAACTCCAATACTTAAAAAGTCTGTCTTGCAGATGAATTTTACCTCAATCAATGTCAGTGATTTGATTTAGACAATTAAATTAGATAGTTTTCCTCTATATTCATAAAAGAGAAGTTTCTGCAGAGGATAATTCAACCTCATGTAGTTATAATTTACAAGGACATGCACAGGATATTTGGAGGCTTAAAAGGGATGTGTTCTTTATAGTTTTGGAAGGAGCACTCTTTTAAATTTGAAATGATTCTAGAACAAAAGCAAATAGAAAAAATATTGTGAATATTAAACAATTATAATTAACTGCAATTTATGACACTAATGACTAATTCAGTATAGAAATTGTGTGTAAGCCATTAGTAAGGATGTGCTCAACATGAATTTCAACAAAGGAAAACATTATGAATGCTTTCCCTAATGAATGTAGTAAATGCAGACATATTTTATAAAACATATTAAAAAAAAAAATACACAAACATTGCTTTCCTCCAACCTAGGAACTTAAAAAAAAGACAGATTTTGATAAGCTTTTTTTTTTTTCCTTTGCCAATTCTAGAGTCATATCTGCAAAACTTCTTGTTCTTAACAAGAGATCTTTAGAACATCTCCCTGTTTCAACTAGTGATTTCATGGAATTGATCTAGACATTTAGAAAATTCCAGAAATTTGTCATTCTGAATTATGTTGAAATTTCAAAAATGCCTATGCTTTCACTGTTGATTTTGTTTGTTTGTTGTGGAATTGTCATATTTTGTCTTAGAGATTGCTAAACAAAAATATCTAATGTTAGCATTTTGAAGAGTTAGCACAGAATATTCATGGTTCGGTCAGAAACTTTGGTAACAACTTCCAAAACAATTAATCTCATATACATTCTTTAAAGGACTTCTCCAAAAAGGAAACAAATTACACATTTGCAGACCACAAAAATGATTAACAATTAAATTAATTTGAGACTTTAAGCATTATTTCTGAGAAAGGCTTGCTGCAGTATTTATTCAAATGCCTTCACAGTAGGAGTTCTGATTTGACCTGATACCCTTGCTACTTGCCAATTGTTAGCATTCAGACACATGCAGACCAAGTATCTTGTGATATCAAACACTGTTGAATACATTAGGGAACTCATATTTTCTTCAGCTGCAATAAATTTCTGTAAAAGGAACAGCATCCATTCCTAAATACATAGACAAGTGTGCCAAACAGCTAATCTCAACCATGCCTGTGTAAATTAAGGAATCTGCACACACACACACTCACCCCAATAGATATTAGTGGCAGATCCTAAAAAGGTAATCATTTATTAAAGGGAGTTATTTTGTACTTAATTAAGTTCTGATTTGTGTTTTCCTTACATTCTGCTGCACAGCATTCAGAATATTCCACACGGGTTCCTTCTCAGCCAGACTCTTATTCCCATAGTCAGAAATAACTTCATCAATTCTGTTGTTCCACTGATGGTAAACCTGTCAATAAATAAATGTTTAGAGCATTTGGTACGTGCTTATATAGATAACAGTGTGAATGGATTGTATAATCCTTGACCTTTTATTGATATTCAGATTTTGACAAGAGTCACTTGCAAGCAATCGGTTTGCTAAATATAATCTGAACCACATCATAGCTATTGGACTCAGAGTAAAGCAAAAAGCAGAAGGAAAAGATAAATCACAAACGTAGCATTGGCAGGCAGAAGTTGCTTAGCCTAGATGTTGTCAGATGAGCCAGAGAACATAGTTTAGATGCAAAACAAAACAACAAAAAAAAACCTTCTTCAACTTCATTCAGTTGCTATTGCTGTTCGAATAACGAAGTTCAAAACCTTGCACAGTGAATGAAAATAACTACAATTTAATATACTTCAGCAGCACTTTAATTAAGGTTGAGATCAAGTGAAATTACAAGTGAAATTTAATTGCAGTATTTCAACCATTTTTTCTGAACAAATAATCAACTCCAGAATGCATCATTCAGTTCAAATCTTGCAATATATAGAACCATAATATAAAACAGGGAGTACTCTATCATTATAAATTAACATTTTTTAAATAAATCTTGATGATACAAATTGACTTTGATGGAGTAAAACTAATTTATTTGTGCTGTGCTGAACAGCAGCAGGCTTTGAAGAACCTTATAATGTTTATGAGGCAAGTGTCATGGGAGTATTCTCAAACAACAAATTTTGGAATTGCAGAACAGGGAAGAAGCAGGATCTTTATGCATTTGGTACAGAGTGTCTTCTGCACAGTACTTCGAGGGGTGCTCAAGCTATTGGAATTGCTATTTGTAGAGAAATTAACATTGGACAGTTATTACATAAAGTTTTAAGGCACTACAATTACTAGCAATAACAACTATGTTTGTATTTATCATAGAATCATAGAATCTTGTTTTTAAATCAAGGATATTCCATACAATTGATCTCTACTTGGATCTAAAATACAGGCTCAAATAATAAAACTGGTAATTCATGAGTATACATTAAATGCCCTGATGCAAATGACTCCTACTATCAATGGCACACTCGATTGCTATTATTACCCACAAGAAAAGACTGTCATCTAATGTTTTCTCCTACATCTTCTGAAGTCCGGGAAAAGGGGACTTTTCAGGTCATCTTTCAAAATAATAAAAAGAATATAATAAAAATAAGCTGTCCCTGTGTCACTGTTGATTCTACATGCCTGAGCAGAAAGAGAATGTTTTGCTGAAATCCAGAAAAAGACAAATTGAAAATTTCTTTTAACAATCATTTAACCACGCTGAAGTCTTTATATTCAAATCCTCTGTTGTGCCTGGTCAACATATAGAATACTGAAGTCCAAACAAATAGAGATACATCTGCAGTGAGAGCTATTAGATTATTATTTTTTTAATTGACTACAAGAAAGTATTTTGTAATTAATAGCAGACTCATGTAATAATTTATTTACTTACCACCTCTTTCTTCAAAAATATCAGTGCTAATATGGCAATCTGGGTGAAAAACACCAGGACTTGAAAACACACATACTGAAAAAAAATTACACATTATTAATAAACATAATATTGAATAAGCAAGTGTCTTAATTTCAGCTGGGATGGAATTGTTATCTTCACCACTTGATGTGATGCTGTGTTTTGGTTCTAGTAGAAAAAAAATGTTGATAACACATTTCTATGTGTTTATAGCTGATGCTTACAGTTGATGCTAAGCAGTGTTGTACAGAGGTAAGGCTATTTTCAGTGGAAGGCCCAACAAGCTGGGAGGGAACAGAATTAGGACAGATGACTGGAACTGGCCAAAGGGATATTCTGCACCATATGACATCATGCAGAAGGAGTTTTGAAGGGAGTGAGACTTTTAACATTAGGTAGGCTTTTAACATTAGATCAGGCTTCAAGCAATGCACAACTCATAGTTCAGAGCCAGTGTGAAAGCCACAACCTTCAGGGAAGTGTAAAATAAAAGCTGACCACAAGCAGCTGTGCTCCATTGAATAAAACTCTTGATTCGTTATTTCCTTTTTCAGTTCTTACTGTGAGACCTGGAAGTCTCACACTTAGGTAAGAACTCCTTTGACTAGAAGATGCAGAAAGAAGAAAACAAAGATAGTTCATGAATTTTGTTCATTTGCACTGAGACTAAATTTTCATCCACATTGCCTAATTTTCATACAACTTCATGAAAGCTAGAAATGAGACATTTCATTATCATCATTTAATAAGCCATCAAGCAAACACTAAATAAGTAGGGTAATAGCCAGAAAGAAGTAGAAAGAAGATTCCTGGACTCCTCACATCTCTCTGCCTACTGATACATTCATACAGAAATCTTCAGTTTTGTTCAGATTTCACTAAAACTAGGACTTTATCTACAAAGATCTTTCTATTAGCCTGCTATTTAAATACATCAAGACAGGATCACTCTGCTTTCACCCACGTTTTCAAATAGGTTAATAACATTTGGAGTCTGATTTACACTTACTGTAACTAGTAGGCATCTGATTTTCTTAACATTTCCAAGGAATCCCACGACTGATGTAAAAATAATAAGAGATCCAACTCCAAGTAACATAAAAGAAACATGTACCACCATTTGGTTCTCACCTGAAGAAACTGCATATACATTGTGTTACTTCTTTTTATTCAGGACTTCCACTTACAAAACATAATCAAGGAAAAAAAATATCAAAAACAAATCAAACCAACAAACCACTAAACCCTTTCAATGCCATTATTGAAAAGATGGCAACAGTGGAATGATGAAAGGACATTCTTACTGCAATTAGTCATGGAAGCCAAAAGATGTATTTCATAAATTCAGATGATGGCAACATAGGAGACATGAGCAGAACATAGCTAAACAAGGTGAACAATTGTTTGTTCAGAAAAAGTTAGTAATGCATGTGCAAATCCTGTGTGGATATGAATAGAGTTCTTCCAGATGCAAATTCAGTGCAGTCCTCCCTCCTTGTGACTGGCAACTGTCCTCTTTCCCTTTTAATCATTTTTGCACAGACATGGAATCTAGCAGGAGGTTGTCATTATTTCTATCTCCAATGCTCTATCTCAGAAGTTCCTTACTGGATGGGTGAACTGGTGCTCCTCAGGCAGAGCTGAGAAAAACTATTCCTTAAGAGCACGGCTGTTGTCATGTGACTCAAACAAAGGACAAGTGCTAGCTGGCATTTATTCTGCCCAAATACCCAGTTAAATGATCTATAATATTGCCAAATGTGGGCCAAATGTGTTGTGATAAATTATATTTTAAAATATTGATAGATCTGGTTTATATTTCAATAATTCTTCTACAGGCCATACACCAAGTTAAATAAATAAATTGTATAAATTGTAATCATAAATAAATTTTACGTGTACTGATATATGCTGTATTCTATCCTCTTTTGAAAATCATACTGATGGAAAACGTACCCAAAAGAAAAAGAACCTATGCATTTCAATTCAACACTGCCACCTTGTGAAAAAGAAAAAACAGCTGCATTTGTTCGTTTACCTTACAAACATTTCAATCAAACAAGTGAAAATCTATTTATACTCACATAATACACCAAATAAATTATTTCTGTCAAATAAAAGCCACAAACCAAATGTCAAAAGCAGAACACCCAGCGCCTGGAAAAGAAAAGGATTATTGTTTTCACTTAAATTATTTTTAATAATTAATTTTAAGTTGATAAACAGGAAAGAAGAATAAAACACTTTTTTTTTTTTTCTTTTACCAAGAAAATTCCATTGAAGACAGTTAAGGTTATTTTCCATGTTAATATTTTATCTCTTATTTTCATTCTTCTGTTTTCTGTTTTGAATTGCAGCTGAAAATATAATAATATATTTAGTCCACTTTTGAAGTTAATCTCCCAGTCACGCCCACTTAGTTCTTATCTTTGTGAGCTTTTTTGTTGTTGTAGAATGTAATAGGATGTGAAGAGCTTAACTCATTTCAAAGTAAACAAAGCCAAGAGATGCACTCTGTCAACAATAGTATACGGGCTCTCAGTGGAAGGACAAGCCCAGATGCTAAGCAAATCAACTACCCTTGAACAGATGTGGTGTGCATCAGGACCTGAGAACCCACAGTATCACTCTACCAATTAGATTAGTAGGTTATAGCACTTGCAAACATAGACAAAACATTAATGAAGTAACATTAGCATTGATGTTTTGAGCATGCTTTAGCATATTTCAGCAGGTAAGTCTCTTAGCACTGTAAAATATCTCATGTGGGGCTTTGCTTTTATGTATCAGCATTACTATTATCATTTTTTATACTCTATGGGTCTATCAAGATTCTTCCATTGAGAGAAACTCATATGTTTGCCCTCCCACTGGTTCCCTTTCACCTGTCTTGTATCTTCTGTAAACATACTCCAGCATTCCGGTCTGCCTGCATTGGTGATATAAGCTGGAGAGAGTCCAAGAGCAGAGTTAGAAGATGGTGGCTTCTGCAAGAGCAGCCTATTGCAATTGTCCAGTACCTTTCCCTTGTAAGGCAGACAAGCACACAAACGTGTACAGACTCATGAACATAGCCAGCATGTGCATACTCTTCAGAAAGTATTTTTTAAACCCAAAGGAATGTTTTTAAAAGGAATTGTATGTGGTTCTCATCTTTCGTCAGAATTACTACAGATTAATTACATCCTCCACCATTTGTAAAACAGAAGAAAATGATAAAGATGAAGCATTTATGATCAAAATTATCTTGCAATAATAAGAACTTATTTTACATACAAAATGCATGTTACATATGTATCAAATTTACTGATGAAAAGATTCAGCAAACACCAGTTTTTTATTTCTTATATTCCTGTCATGTGAATTATAAAAATATAATTGCTAAATTGCAGAATGAAGAAAACTAAATCCTTCTCAAACTAGCTCTGAAATGGATTTGGGTCTATTATGCATCATGTAAACTTCAAAACTCTTACCAGATAAATTAGATAAATGCTTTTGCACTTTCCCTGGAGAAGATCCACTGCTTTTAAGAGCAATTGAATTTCATCAGAATTTTCAAAGCTGGAATGTATTAAACCATTGATTTTATGTATTGTTTTCATTTAAAAGAAAAAAAAAAGAAAAAAAAAAAGCTTTAAATAGTTGCAAATTTCACTTGAATTCTGGCATCAAAAATGCTTCTTTTGTAATCACAGAGTTATAAAATGGTTTGGGTCATCATCTAGTCCCAACCCCTCTACTATAGGGACACCTATAGAACAGATTACTCTAATAATTATATAGTTGCAATGCTTTATTTTGAACCATTTTAACAGTGATTCAATTTCTCTTTAATCACTTATCTGGAAAATATTGTCTTTACAAAAGTATTCATTTTACATTTAACGGCTAAAAGAAAATCTTTAGCAGCTTTGAATATTTCTGTCTTACCTGAGAGAATACAATCTTATAGTGATGTTACTTCCTTATGTGCATCCTACGCACACATTTACACTTCTGTTGACCACCCCTTACTTCCTGGTTACAGAAGGCAGGCGGACAGATACTTCTTTTTTCCTGGCAAAGCTGTTTGCTGAATGCAGGACACAGTGTCTTGTGATTCCATCACCATGACGACAGTTTATTTCACATTAAAAAATGAGTACCAAAGCCTGAATTCAGCTCAGTGCTCGAACATATTTTCTTAACACAACCATACTGAGATGTTTACTGGTTGCATGACCCTGCAAAAAGTTAGATTGTGGATTTCAAATGGACACGTTTTCATACTACTAAGATTTGAGTATCTTACTGATTGGTAACATCTGCAAGAAAACATGAAGCAGCTGTCCTTGAGTCCAGTATCTCAAGCTTAACCAGCATATGTCTTACAGTCTATTTTAAAGATGCTGGGGAAAAAAAA